AATTAAGAAACCATATTCAGCGACGAAAATTTATTTATTGAATCACTTAATTCATTAATGTCGAAAAAAATCGACCATATAGATGACGAAGACGATGATTATTAAAAACTAAGAAGTCTTTGTGTGTGAAACACACTTAACACACTCCAAATTGGCCAAATAAAAATAGTGATAACTTATAATATAAAATTTATATTATAAATAATTATATTTTCAATGATAACCTATTATCTTCTAAAGAGCAAGCCCTGCAATCAGCAAACATTTTTACTAAGTATTTGAATCACATATTTGTAGTATTTAATTTAATTTTACATTTTCCTGTATACATTACAAACTATCTGATCTATATAAGTTTTCTAAAAGTTCATAAGATATATATTTTTGAATATTTTTGAAGATGAAAGCTAAGTACACAAATGCATATCCCTCTATAATGTCAATGCGTGCGTGCAGTTGCGGTCATATACTGAATGCATTTTAGTTCGATGCAGTTTTCTGTAATTTATTAAAAATATTTTGCTGCTTTCTACTTTAGATACAAATGTACTTTGTTTAATAGTTTTTTACTGATCACAAAAAAAGCGGTAGAATTGAAAAGAAAATGAACTCAGAGATAAAAATCGTATAAAACACTTAAGAGCGTTCAACGTTTTTATTTTGCATATAAAAGGAATTTTAATTCATTTTAAATTACTTCTAAAACTACAGAGGTTTTATTTTAAATGGAACATAATGATTCAGCGCTTAATTAAGAACACATTTAGCTTTGAAAAATATATCTTACTGGCGTTTTTAATGATTGTATTTTAAAACTTAAGTGACGAATCACTGATGTTTATTTTAATGTCTTGATATGACTTACAAAAAATGTTAAATAAACGTATAAATAAATAAAAAAACTTCTTGGTTTCAAAGAACTGCAAATTAACATAAAAAGAAATTTTTCGATTTTTATTTATAAATAAAAACTATTATAGAAACTATTATAGAAAATGAATGCATATAAAGTGTTTCAGTTTTTAGAGTAAAAATTGTAAAAAGTAGCCTGGTTGGCATTAATACTAAAGGCCACCAATTAGACAATAGAAACCGCCAAAATATCTAACAGTAGCTAGAAATGCTTGAGTAGATGTAGATTGTCATCAGACTTTAAGATTTAGCCTAACTAATGTAAGAAGCATATCACTCAGCTGTTATAATTAAAGCAAATCCTTTTACGTTATTGGAGTTGACAATACCGCTGCATATTAACAGCATTGTCTTAATACACACAATGAGATTTAGTCGTCTCCATAATAAATATTGCCGTGTCTGCGTTTCTGCATAGTAAAACGTAACTGTAGTGCACATTATGTGTCAATGTCTATCTTTGGTTATTAAAATGATTTTCTCATTAACCTGAAGGAGTCGTCATTCTTTAATATTAAAGGTATAGCCAATTTTGTAGACTTGTCAGATTGATAGTTTATAATTAAAAAGTAAAATTGGGCTTGGTCTCATCGAATACATTGATTTTTATACCAGTTTTAGTGCTCTTCTTGGTCTGTTGTGTATGTAATATTTTTATCTGTGGTAACAAGTCGGAGGCGAGGTCCTTACTTTCACTAAACCTAACCTCACCTAGTATAAAATAAATTACTGAGATATTGAATTTTAATTCCATATTCAAAGACAATCAACAGTAGTTATATATGAGACAGTCTTTTAAAACATACTTTCTTATCACACACATATCACATCTCTAGTACCAGATTAAATGAGACACTATAACATTAGTTTTTGGGAATGTATAACTGAAATGTACTTTCCAGTTACTTGTTGATTTTACTACCTCAAATGTGATAATTTTGTTTATAAGCATTTCTATTAAATGATGAAACAGTCTTCCAACTGAAGAAAAATATATTTACTATAGATTAAAAATATTTTGCTAATATTTCACAACTTCTATACGTTCAGCGGTTGTTAAACGATGCGTATTGTAATAAAGTATAAATTAGTCTTTATATATAATACTTTAGATGATAACTCCGTTTGATATAATGGTACCAAATATGGGCCCTGATATGTATACCTTATGTATAAGATAATTTTTTGCGAGAAAATCAATATGTTTTTGACAAAAATTTTGACAATATACTAAGTCAAATATTTAACTTTAAACTGCATTAATTTTTAATTATTTGCAATTAAGTACGATAATTACAGTTTGCAGTGAAAATATTTTCAAAAAATAACAAAAGTCACAATTAAAATTTTAAGTAAATAAATTAAATTCACATTTTTTATGCAGAGCAGCCTTAATGGATTCTATATTAACAGAATATTAAATAGTGCTGAAGTATGTACCGGAAAAAAAATACATTGATTGATGTTTTTAATGCCAGCGACATAAATTCAAGCATTTAAATTTATTTAAATGTGCTTGAATTAATTATAAGTACATTTGTATTAAATTCTGGAATAAATTAAATTTCTCTTCCATGTATTGCGTCAATATAATTAATTTTTTTTTTGCGGTTGTCTGTCACAGAAAGTAAAAGGGAAATGAATTAATATAAAAATAAATACATACTTACAATAATTTTGTTGATTCATTATATCTTAGAATACATTATTATCACTGAGTATGCTTTAATAAATGCACTTTAAGTAAGCTTTAGTGCATATAATTGACATGCTTTAAAACAGTCTACTCTAACTAGCAGTCGGAGGGCTAAGCCTAATATGTTCATTTAGAAAATGAACAAATTTGAAATTGAAATTGTGCAACTGACAGAAACTGAAGTTCTGAAACAATTTTCTTTCAATTTCAGTTTATGTTTGAATTTCTACAATTTTTGCACTTGAATGCATATTCTAAAAAGTTGCAAAATCTATTGCAGCTGAAATTCATTTGCAATTCAGTTAAGTTTGTTCAACATCATTCGAAGCTAACAAGCAATTTAAGCAGATTTGCATGTTTCTCTATTCAAACATGACAAGTTAAACTTTCAGGACAAAAACTCTACCAACTAAATTTTATACTAAGTACTAAGTATCAAGTTTATAACATAAAATAAAATATTAATTGAAATTTGATATGTTTTTAATGCTCTTACGAGTACTCTGGCTATTTAAGCATAATTGAAACAAACTAGTAACTTTAAGTTTATATATTATATAAAACCATATGTGGGAATTATATCAATCTGTAGGAATCAAGTGTCTGTAGAATAAAAAAATATATAATACATATTTTTTTTGGAACACTTTAGGCTATAATTTTTAAGGCAGGTCTATTTTTTACACAAATTTTAAAGCAATTCATTATGAATCACACCTGCAAACAATAACAATTAATTTTGTATCTGCTTTGGGCACAAAAACAGAAAACCCCCAGAGGTTAAAAAAAAAAAATTTATGTAAAATCATATTCAATTTAATTTATAAAATTTGTTTCATGTCAGAAATTTCATTTTGTAGATAAAATACGGAATTGATTTTCAAATAGAATAAATTTTATATAAAGTAATTTTTCCTAATAGTAAAGAAAATATGCTTTAAGCATGATTAAGTGTTGTATGTCCATTTTATACTGAATATTTTATGTTAAGGAAAATCAGATTACAAATTGTTTCCGAGAAGCAAAACATTGCTACGTTAAATATTAATAAAGGAAAATATTTTTTTCTTTCTTATTTGTTAATAAATTTTACTTAATAAATATTTACTTCCTCATCCGGGTAAAACACACACTACTTTAATTTCTTTTCAAAAATATTTAATAAATAATTTAAGCACGAATG